AATGTTTACAGGGTGACAGTGAAGGCGTCTCCGTAAAGCTACAATGTTTACAGGGTGACAGTGAAGGCGTCTTCCTAAAGTTACAATGTCTACAGGGTGACAGTGAAGGCATCTTCATAAAGCTACAATGTTTACAGGGTGACAGTGAAGGCATCACTGTCTTCAGTCTAAACTAAAGGACACTATAAACTCTTGTGGTGCGTTCAGATGAACTCAATTTACCCGGACAGAACGGCGTGTGAACCCAGACAGTCCACTGACATGGCGGTGGCCTGAAACCACAGAAGAAGAAGAGATTAAAGAAAACATAAATAAAGGTGCAGAAGAAGAAGGTTGGTCTGAAAGATGCCGATAACTTTATTTATTTCCTTGTCAGCTGACTCTTTAATTATTGTGTAAAAGTACTCGTGTTACAGTAGAAGTACTAATACCACACTGTAAAATACTACTTTGTAAAAAAAAATGAATGAATATTTGTTAATGATCAGACTGATGTTGCTTAAAAACATTAATATATAACACAAAACTACTTTAAACAAATTTACTTATTTAATGAACCAGATCTAATTATTGATTATTTACTGTCTAACAACTTTCCTGATTATTTAATTGCACAACTCTAAATATTAATAAATAAATATATTAAAGTGAGTAAGGAGTCCGGAGCTTTCGCTCATCGTTACCTGGGCATCTCTAAACTCCACCACCACATTCTCGCTGCTCCAGCGGGCCGCCATCTTGCTTCTTCTTCCACTGTCAACAACACGTCACGTGATCCTAATGATACGTGACGACTTCTTCACGAGCCCTGTGGAAAAAAACGGTAAAATAATTAACAACAAAAAATATTAACAACGAAATTAAAGAAAAAAACTATTTTAGTAAAAGAAACATTTATTTTAATAAACATTTATAATTGTAGATGGATAAAAACAAAAACAATGTGCTTTCAAAATAAGGTGTTTCTCTTTACATGCGTGGTGAGGAGTTCGTGAACGCACCGTGCACTCTTTGCACGAGACTCTTTTCCTTTCTTCTGATTGGTCGCTCCAGTTTCCGGTAAAATATATCCAAAATGGCGTCTACCCTGGTGGCGCATGTCGTCGCGGACGCTGGCGCGTTTTTAAAGAAAGCTCCACTGCAGGTGAGTTTTTAATAAATACGTTAGTCAATAAAGTGACGTCAGTCAGCGTGACGTCGGTCCGTCCGGTGTCCGGTAACGAGACCGGAGAGAAGGCCCTCAAGCTCCGGACTGATGAACACCAGACTGACATTAAATACTCATAAATAAATCTACATTTAATATTCACCTTTATTTAAAACAAGTTACTCTCGTTACCTCAGTATTACACGTCACTTCCGCTGAGCAGGAGCGAGGAGATGATGCACAGAGAACATGAGTGTTGCCATGGTGATCAGCTCTTCGGTCACTCTGTGGAGAAGCTGTATCATTTCTGTCACCACAACAGTCTGGTCACCGTGACAGTCTGTGGTCACCATATCGGTCTATGGTCACATGACGGTCTGTGGCCACCATAACAGTCTATGACAGGAGTCTATGGCAGGGGTTAGCAGCAGGCTAACGGAGCAGCTAACAACATGGAATATCTACTAAACACCAGCTGGATAATAAATGGACTCATATAAAAGACCTTCTGTTCTGTTTACACCAGGGGTCTTCAACACTTCTCAGGCCAAGCACCCTCAAACTGATAGAGAGATGGAGCAGGGACCCCCGACTATATATATTGTATAAAGTTGTGTTTTATATTAAACTGGGCCTAGTACTGTGTATAAACATACCTCTTTATTGTGCATTCAATACTAAACTATTCAAATAATACACTGGTTCATATCTTCATGTTTTTATGTTAAACATATGCAAGGTACAGTGAGTAGGGAGGCCGTGCCACTGCCATTTATAAACTTGCCTTGTCAGCTGATACCAATGCCAATATCAACATTGTCTGTCAATAGCATGATAATCATCATACAAGCTATTCAAACTGATGTTTTCATTTTAAACATAAATGTGGAAACAAAAATGAGTGATGGCCTATTAGTGCCACTGCTATGCATAAACATACCTGTTATCTTTCATACAATACTGAACTATTAAAATAATGGACACATTCATGTTTTTTTTTTTAAACATACATGTAGGGGGACAGGTCCAAGCTAGTCTCACGCTGTGAGTAAACCGGTGCCCAGATGTGTCGATGTGTGCATTTCTGACTGAAATATAACATCTTCTGCCTCCATTTATCCATTTGCTACAATATGTTGGATTCATGTTAATGTTTATTTAAAGACATTTAAATTTGTGGAATAAAAAAAATTGTCTAATCAACCAAACATTTCACGACGCCCTGCAGTATCTCCGCGGACCACCTAGGGGTCGCGGACCCCCTGTTGAAGACCTCTGATCTATGGTCACGTGATGGTCTGTGGTCCCCATGACGGTCTGTGGTCGCCGCGACGGTCTGTGGTCGCCGCGACGGTCTGTGGTCGCCGTGACGGTCTATGGTCACGTGACACCTGTAGGCCAAGGTCATCTATAGGCCATGGTCACCTGGAGGTCCTTCTGTTAGGAGGTTCATTCATGTTAAGACGGAGTAAATCTGTTTTATTATATTATTTATTGAATAGTCACAGTTCGGTCTGTTGGTTTGTGTTGCAGGATATCGGAAGCAACATCTACACACTGAGAGATGTGGTCAACGAGATCAGAGACAAACCCACCAGGAAGAGTCTGGCCGTCCTACCGTACCAGCTGGTCTTTAAAGAGCCTCATCCTGAACACGTTAGACTGGGTAAACTAAACCTGAACACGTTAGACTGGATAAACTAAACCTGAACACGTCAGACTAGATAAACTAAACCTGAACACGTCAGACTGGGTAAACTAAACCTGAACACGTTAGACTGGATAAACTAAACTAAACCTGAACACGTTAGACTGGATAAACTAAACTAAACCTGAACACGTCAGACTGGATAAAC